TCAAGTTTTGAACTTGGGCAAACAAACCGACAAAACACGCCCTGATTTTGTAACGAAATCTTTAACTTTTAAACTCGTGGGGTTATAAACTGGCAATTTTAATTTGAAAGGAACATATTTAAGGTCCAAAATGGGAAAAATGTCCTGATAAAACACGGCGAAAGCAAGTTCGTTCCGCAAACATTGAGAAAAAGAAAACATCGTTGTTTAGAACTTTTCGAAATAAAAATAAACTTTGAGGACTTTAATTTTTCATTTTGTGTCCGTTCACATTGAAAAAAGGTATGTCTTGACCGCCACTGTACATCAACAACTACTATACATAGACAGCAGACTGACATGGAATCCCCACAAAAGACTTAAAAAGCAACAACTTTACAGAGACTTGGACACTTACGAAGACTTCTAGGACCTAAATCTGACGGCGATTAACTCTTAAACTAAACTTATACAATACTACTGCGACCACTTTGGACGTACGGAGTGGAACTGAGGTGTTCTGCAAGACATCTAACATCCAGCGCATCCAATCCTTCAAATCAAAAGTCGTCAGACAAATCGTCAAAAATACATGCAATAACCTGACTATCCACAACGACCCCGACACTCGTTTTGTCCTTTAAAAATCAGGAGACAATTACTAGCATGAATGTACTTAAACGAATACACAACAGAATTCCAGTTTATTGCCAAATCAAAAACAACAACCGCTTGAACTGCTTTTTAGTGTATGTCCTAAGAAATAATGTACATCGAACTTGTAAAACTTGTAAGGAATGCTTCTTAAATTCTCAAGAACAACCTTTGATCGTTGAAAACTTTTAACAGGTACAACTTGCATGTCGAGCTCTTGAAAATATTAGCAAGAACTACGAAGTAACCACTTTCATAAAGTTCTTTGAGATAATTTTACACAACGTACTTGCGTTTTTGTTGGGGTGTTAAAACGGAGGGCGTAACCAAGGCAACGGCTTAAACAACTTATGCTCGGATACACTTCCTATTTATTTGCAATTGTTATCAGTTATAGAAGTTTTTTTTCTGTTTGTTCTTTAATTAATTAAAATCTAAGAATTCTAACTGAGATCCTTATGAAAAATTCAATAAGAAAATTCAATTTTCGTTTATTAAAGAGAAGTATTGTCAAGGCTTGACGCTGTTTGTACGATGATAAAGGAGTCGTGAAAGAACCAAGTTTCAAGGCTTTGTCTCACAAAAAATCAAAAAAATTTATTTCAAATATATTCGCAATTTTAAAAGTTTAAATTTGGTAACTTTAGAGAAAGAGTAAAAATATATTATATTTTATATATATTTTGATATATGCCTTTCGTTTTTCAAATATTGAATGAACACATTTAATAAATTTTGTTGGATTGTTTATAAAATAATGTTGCATGTTACCCTGGTACCGACTAGATTTGAACCGATAAAATTTTTCTCGAGTCAAAACAAACATTGATACTGAGCTGAATGAAACCGAATAAATTAACATATATTTTTTTTATTAATTAATTTTTTTAAACTTGAAATGCGTGAACGGTCCGCATATTCATACTAACTGTTTGTAACCGTGGTGCGGGCTAAACGCAGGTTAAACATGAATTTTGGCATTAGGTACCAGGCAACTGTCGAACAGAAAAGTCCATCATTCTTACATGTGGATTTTCCATTTTACGACTCAGGATAAACAGCCGATAAAACTAGTCATTTGGGACAATTGACTTTGGTCCCCAGTTCACGTTATTGCTTTGGTTTTTTGATCTTTTCCAATCAATCTAAACTGTCTGATCTTGTTTTGGTTTGGGGGAAGCTTTGGCGTTTCACCATATTAATCGAGTGTCTTTTGTAAATTGGTTACAAAAAATTCTGAAAGGCCAAAACATCGAAGCTCGACAGACATGGAAAAGACCCAAATACTACGTACATCCTTAATGTTTTTTTAAAATGGTGATTGACTTGCGTTGTTTTATCAGTCCATTTTAAAAGTGAAGAATTGTCGGTAATGTACGAAGCCATGAGGCGTAAGACTAAGCAAAACAGCAAGGTTAAACCACAATGACCAATTACTTTCTACAGATTCACTTCATTATTTTCTTTGGGTGATGTTAATAAAGGATACAGTGTGCAAAACACACAGAAATTACTACGAAGTGATGAGGCTTCAGACAGAAAATTATACCAAAATGACCTGAAACGAATGATCCAATTACTTTCCAGAGATCCACGTCATTCTTTCTTTGGTGTCATTGTATTTGCATTATCTTTGATGCAACAAAATCTGCACAGTAAAACACATAGCACTGACTCCAAAGCAGTGACGCATTAGACATAGAAAAACAGCAAGAATAGACGAAAATGACCTGAATCAAACGAGAAAATTACATTCTTCAGAACCACTTCACTGATTTCTTTGAGTGTTGTTATTGCATTTGCGTTACGTTAAATGGTAAGGATACAGCTTGCAATAAACCACATACTACAGACTAGGAATACATGAGGCGAAATACTTAGAAAATCAGCATGGTAGATCCATAAACGACACTTTGACCAACTATCAATTTCATTAATTCCTTTGGGTGTTGTTATTTCATTTGAATGTTATCAGTCTAGACTAGGAGTAATAAGTGGCGGCTTTGTCCCTACTATAAAAAAGGCACAACCTACAGTGAAACCTCCGATAAAGCACAACTTCGTTTACAGGACAGTTACTAATGCACCGGGCATAGGAGATTCGTTTTCTTTGTATTTAACTCTTCCATTTAGGGGACATTATACATAAAAGACAAGGACACTGTCGTATCGCCCTACAGTCTGTAACAGTATGGAATTCGTGAGAGGGGCACGGGTTTATTATATTTTTTTCTTGAGAAGCATTAGTGATCGCAGTGTTACGACTGTACAATAATTAATTAATTGAATAGGAGTCTTTTCTTAAATATGTTACAACCCTTCACAATCAATTTTCTATCTGATATTGCTTACATGATTTCAACGTAATTTGAAAAGTTTAAAGTTCTCCGACCCACCAAATTTTAACTTCAAAATAAAGAAATATTTGATTCTTATAGAAAATTTGAAAGACTAGTGTAAAAAAATTAGTTGATAAAGCTTCGAAAAACGCTACGAGGTAAAATTTTAAAAGAACGTAAAGTCATTGAAAATGTACATCCTAACATACAACTATGTAGTATCTAATATGCGTACAATGTAGTATATGCAATATCTAGTATATGTACAGACAGCTATGTATTATTGGATGATAATCATAAATTAAAGGACACCTAGCGAAGGAGGACAAAAGTGAAGTATGACTGTCCGTTAGCAGGAGGTTTCACTGTGCAAATAACAAGCAGACTAGTTGTTGATGGCGATAGAACAAAACAGCTAGGACAGACTGATAAGACTGACGTTCATCTCGCCCCCGAGCTCATGTACAAAAACTCACTATTTGTTTTATTTGTTAGTTCATAATAATTACAGAAGAACTCGGTTCAAAACATAAGCATCGGCATGATGTCAAGTGTTGATGTTTTTCTATTTACATTTTTTCACACTGGATAGTTTTAAACAATTTCCAATCGTTCCCATGGCCAGATAGTTTTTATGCGACTCTGAGTCATTTGGACGTAACGACGACAGGAGGAACTAGGATTAGAATTTCTTTTCAAAACACATTATAAAGCAAAAGCGATAGGTCAAGGCGAACCTTTAACAAAATTCTAGTGCGGTAATTGACCACTGAGAGGCAAAAAGTGCCCACGCTTAATATTTTTAATTACCTCTTAGACAATCCTCCATCTTACAACAATATTTGGTCCTTTTAAAAAAGGATCGCAGGTAAATAAAACACAGATAAAACCTCCCATTTGAGTTTACAATTGGATTTTGTAAATAAATCTTTGAATAGTAAATCTCTTCTTTGTTGGTTTTTCTGTAAAGCTTCTTTCTAACGTTCCGGTGGTTTGATTTTTTTTTAAAGTTTTACTATTTATAAGTTTCAAATTTGTTCGATGGTTGGACAGTAATTTCTGTCGCACAAAAACTTGATCTTCATCGAGGGTTCCCTAACAGCTGCGCGTTGAAGATAACACTATCAGAAGAAGTTTTTCCTTATATGCCACTAATTGGCGTCGGTTTTATATCCTTGCATGACAATGAAAAGCCCAACACAGCTAGCAAAGTTGGAGACTACTAGGCTTTTCAATTCGTTGTTTGGAGTGGCCAGCATGTAGTCCCGACTTAATTCCTATCGAACACCTTTGAGACGAGTGGTCAAAAGATGGTAAACGTCGCGCAGTGATGCCAGAGAATTTGCAGGATTAAGAATGGCGCTGTTGGAGGAGTATGAACATATTCCATATCACTAAATTCAAAACCTCATAAAATCAATGCCACGTCGATTGTAACGATGATCAACGCAAGAGGAGGAAAAACTCCGAATTTAATATTTCGTTTATTGTTTCTTTAGCAAAAATTTTGGTAAAATTGTTTTACTCACTTTAATTTTTTATTTAGCTATATCTTATATTTTTCTTTAAACATATCCAGTAAATAAACAAATAAAAATGGGTGGCTTCATTTTTTGTCTTAAAGTGTATAAACGATAGCACTGTAATCTTGATAATTTAATAAATACCAGAAATCGATTTCATAGGAAAGTCATCGGTCTAAAGCAATAAAGATTAGAGTGCATGGTATTTTGTAAGGTCGGTCGAGGGCGTAACGATGGTAACGACTGTCACTCTCCGCGGGTCAAAACAAACTGTGAGATGCCAGTCCCGTTGAAAGATGCGATGTTTTGTTTACACAGCCGGCGCAGGAATTTTCCAGATTTTGTCAATTTCAGTTAAGATGATTTGTATTTAACTTGCTGTTTTTCCGGTGGTCGAGGTGTAACCATGGTGACATTCGGATTCGGGTGAAAACTCGCGACGGACGCACTATCGGAGTATACACTTTCACTGTTAAATATCGTTTTGACGTTGCTTGGTACTCACCTAGGTCGGGCATGGAGCTCGAAGGTTCTTCGTGCTGTGTCCTGAACTTGGGAGGCGGAGGCGGCGGCGGAGGCAGCATCGGCGGGGGCGGGGGGCAGGTGGTCGACGTGACGACCGGAGGAGCCTGTGGCACCCTGAAGTCGCCTTCCGAGTTACTCGCAGCAAGTCCCGATTGCATAGCACATTCGTTCTCTCGCACTAACACTGAGGGAGGCCGGCTCGAGAGTGCTCTGCCTAGCAGCCGCTCCGTCGATCTGCTGCCCTTGTCCTTGAAAAGGTTTCATGAACTCTCGAATCGGGCCGGGTGGGGGCTTGCGCGCGCAACGCACCGCGCTCTCCTCCCGCACTACCTCCCGCCCCATAAACACACACAAAAACAACAACAATTATTGCCCGGCCTCACCACCGCCCCCCGCCCATGAATTAGGTCAATATTTAAATTTTTATTTTAAAAATTTCTTCACCTTTAAACTGGCATCTTTTTCGTATAAATAGATAAAGCCTACGGTTAATTTTGTCCATTACCCTTATTTCGTTCCATTACATAAGCTATCGTCTCAATAACCTACAGGCACAGAGGTTTGTTTTAACCATTTTAATACTTTAACTATTTTGTAATTCTTTCAATTAAAAAAAAAATCTATTTATGTTTAGTGGTATAATTATTATTTCAATTAATTATTCTTTTTATGTAAGGTCTTGGTTGAGATGAAAAAGTTAGTGTCATGAGCGGGATTCGAACCCACGTCCTTCGGCTAAATACGCCGCTGCTGTACCACTTGAGCTACCGTGACTTCGATCGCCCATGCCACAAACTTCTCATCTCGACTGCCAGATTTTTTAAATTTTTTTCATTTCGAAAAAATTGTGTATAATTAATTGAGTATTTATATATTTAAATAGAAGCTGATAAAATAAATAAAAATTTAGTATTGAGTATTCTTGTTACGTAAGGTATTGGTTGAGATGAAAAAGTTAGTGTCATGAGCGGGATTCGAACCCCTTCGGCTAAATACGCCGCTGCTGTACCACTTGAGCTACCGTGACTTCGATCGCCCATGCCACAAACTTCTCATCTCGACTCCCCGATTTTTTTCAATTTTTTCATTTCGAAAAAATTGTGTATAATTAATTGAGTATTTATATATTTAAATAGAAGCTGATAAAATAATTAAAAATTTAGTATTGAGTATTCTTGTTACGTAAGGTATTGGTTGAGATGAAAAAGTTAGTGTCATGAGCGGGATTGGAACCCACACCTTCGGCTCAACACGCCGCTGCTCTAACCACTTAACCTATCGTGCCTTCGATCCACTTGGACACCAACTCCCCATCTCAACCTACAGCTTTTCGAATTTTCCCTTTTTTGCCATTTTTCCAAAGTCGTGTAATCAGAATTCGTTACTCAGGGAGTTATGAAGTGGCCACGAGGAGGTGTTAGCGATATTTCATTACTTATTACATATTAATCCTTTTATGTTTAGCGGTCTCATTGACCATTTTAATTATTTCAATTAATTATTCTTTTTATGCAAGGTCTTGGTTGAGATGTGTGTCGGGTGTCCGAGTGGATCGAAGTCAAGGTAGCTCAAGTGGTAGAGCAGCGGCGTATTGAGCCGAAAGTCGTGGGTTCGAATCCCGCTCATGACACTAACTTTTTCATCTAAACCAATACCTTACATAACAAGAATAATCAATCTTAAAACAAATTATTTCCGATCATCAATTAAATTATCGCAACTGCCATTCAAATGTCCAACAGTACTCTCTTGAGTGGGGTCAGTACTTGTATTAGCTACCCACAAAAAAGTGATCACCCTGGTACCCCGTGAATTATAAGTATCTAAATTACCCGCAATAGTCGGAATGGCAACATTAGTGACAGTAGGGGGAAATTCAAGCTAGGCTCATCAGTCATCAATTGTCAAGGGAATCCTTCCGTCCGCTTATACTATGAGGGATGGGTTCTATCTTGACACACACTTAAATTGGAACCAACACGTACAAATAAAAAACAGTTACTGAACGTCTAACATTTTGACAAAAAATTAACTGACACTACAAAACATTACAGAAACCGATTTGGACATATGGACTAAAACTGTGAGGAGCCGTTAAACCTACCAATATCCAACGAATTCAGTTTTTCCTATACAAAGTCTTCAGAATCGTAGATAATCCTCCCTACTACGTCTCCAATACCATCTTCCACAACGCATTCAAAATACATTGTGCAAATAAATGAATCCCCACCCAATCGTCCAAGTTCCACGATAAACTCTCCACTCCCCCAACCCACTAGCCCAATCCATGTCCAACATAATCCATCCCTATAATCCCGTCAGACGACTAAAGCAGAGACGACCCCCTAGTAGAAATGATAAATGATGGAGTGAGTGTGGTGTTCAATCCTTTTTTAGACCTAAAACTGTCCATAATAAACAACCTAATAGAAATAGACGTATATAGAAAACCCACAACTACAGACACTATGATAACAGCGGATTCTTCCCACCTATGGTACCAGAAGGCTGCTGGTTTTATTTGGCTCATAGACCAGATGATAAAACTTCCGCTAACACCTGATAACTATAAAAATGAATTAAAAACTATTAAAACCTTAGCAAAAAACAACGGGTATCAAGAAATATTTATTGATAGGTTGCTAGTTAAAAGAATAAAAAAATTAACTTTAAACGAATCAACAATAGGACTCAGCCACCCCACCACAAATGAATCATTAGGTTTCCGTTGTTTGCCATACATTGGTGAATTATCGGAAAAAGTTAGTAAAATTTTTAAACAAGAAGGTTTTAGAATAGCTTTTAGAAGTACGGGTTCACTTAAAAACATCCTCTCAAAACCTAAAGACAAAGTAGACAACTTGGCAAAAAGCGGGGTTTACCAACTCAATTGTAATGATTGTGATATTAAATATATAGGACAAAGCGGTAGAGAAATAAAAATTAGAGTAAAAGAACATTTGCCTAAATCGAGCAAATTTTCGGAACTAAAAGAAACAAAACATAATTTCAATTCAAAGCTACATACAAGAGTGTTACATAGTTTCAACATAGGGAAAGAACTTAGATTGGTTTGAGAAATTTGAAATTAAAAAATGTAAAATTGAACATGGTGAAAAATGCATTAATAATATAACAGATTTTGATCTACCTCCAATTTTAATTATGTACATAAATAATATCAAACATCCAAATATGTATTTACTAGTATAATATTTATTTGTGTTATAATTTCCGCGTTTCGCACGTTCAAATTGAGCGCCATTAAAAAAATCAGCTGCTAATTGGAACGTCGCGTTGGCGGAGGTATCAGCGGGTTCACTTTGGCAATTCATGTCGAGAGACGTGGTTGTAGAAGTCCTTCAACCTGATGATGAGCTAAAAGGCTCGAAATCCGGATCGTTGCAAAACAACTTACTGTGAGTAGGAACTATCTTTTTAAAAAGGAGACTACCCCCTTGTAAAGTCGGGAGAAAAACAATGTTTGCTAACTCTTCTCATGACAATGTGTAATGCAAATATGTATGATATCCCATAAAATTACAAAATTTATTGTTATACAGATGGTAATAATCCCAACACAAATCTAACCGTGACAAAATGCTCGAGTTTCATGCCCATCCAAAAAAATTAACCTATTAATGTAAGATATCTACACTGTGCCTATTCTTTTTAACTCCTTAGCCTGAGAGAACTAAAAAAGGTAAAAAAATTCAGACTCCCTCCCAAAAAGGAAAGCCTATAAAAGTAAATAGGAGAACACTTCGTTTGGTGATTTAGCTGGTTTTACCATCATGGTGATCTCAGTAACTTTCCAAATATTAGGGGCATAGGGACTAAGTCGTGTAGCTGCGTTAAATAAATTAGTAAATTTTCAATTTTGCTTAAAGCTTTGTCAACTTTTCTCTATCAAGTCAACTCCTGGAAAGTCCCTAGAATTTAGTTTGCTTGTTATTTCTTTGTTTGTAGCTTTGGCTTAGGAGTTGTTCTTGATTTTATGTTGAATTTTGGATCATCCGAGAATCGTTGATAATTTCCACCACGAAGAAAAGTTTTTCCGTCGAATTTTACCTTCAGTCGTTTAACCCTTTCCTGTTTTCACGGATTCCTCGTGAAAGAAGGAAAATGACGGACACACTACAGTGTGTAAGTGTAATTTTCAACCCTTTTTAACTGGACCAAGAACAATAAGGCTGATTTATATTTTATAAATTAAAATTCAGTAGGGGTGTAGTTTAGCGGAATTTTTCAAGTGTCAATAGGCATCTGAGTTACAAGTAAAAATTTTTTTGGTTATTTCTTTTTGATACTTTATTGCCAATTTCCTTATTTTTCTTTATTTCTTATTTTTAATATAGACGTACCTTGATCGCCTTGGGAAAAATGATAAAAATCATCATTTCATTTGTTTCGGATCTTTAACGCCTTATCACTTTCTTTCTTTTCATTGCCAGAAAACCGCCGGAAAAGTCAACGTTTTATTTCGCCTTTTCACTTTCTACTATTTTTCTCCTTTCACCGCACTTATCTTCTAGTAAGAAGATTTCCTTATTTTAACGGAATGCAATGATTTTTATTGTTTTCAAACCAAAGCTTCAATGGGTCAGAGAAAACTTTTTCGCTTTGAACCGTCCAGAAATTGAAACATGAATCTTTCTTTTTTGAATGTATTAACGAAATGATACAATAAACTCTTTTTTCATTTTTACTTCAACAAAAAGTCTGCAAAAAAAAGTTTTCACGGTTAAACGTTCAAAATTTTATTACGGTTATTTTTGTTTTGACAGTTAAAAACGATGTGTGCTTAAATTTCCATTCGAGACAGTTGGAATTATTCGCTCTCCTTTATACGATTCAGATCCAATGCTTAACCGGAATAGAGTAAACCACAAAGGTCGGCCTATTGGTGTAACTTGTGAAATTGGGCGGTCTGCTAGTTGATGAAATCTGGTCCGCCTGGCCTAGCTCTTAGTCTCGCTCTATATTCTGACTGGAATGATTTATTAATTCCGCAAATGATTATTAATTGATCATGATTCATAATTAACAATTATTAATCAACAGTGGCTCTGAGTAATTTTCATTGCAAAATGAAGAACAAAATATGCATTTTCCAGTTAAAACAAATTAAAATGTGTGGCCTGTACACATTTTAATTCAAACCCCTTTATATTTTTATTACGAATTTTGATTCTACGATTTTAAATGTATTTATGAAAATACTTTCTTAGAAAGGGATTTCGAATAA